CATAATAAAATTAATAAAACAATAAATATATTAGAAATAATAACCTTCAAGGACATGAAAGAACAATGAAATTCATAATAGAAATATATTAGAAATAATTTTGATATTACTAATAAAAATATTTACCTGTTCATCATGAAACAGTATATGAAATGCATTCCAGTTCTCCCGTTCATGATGCGTTTCAATTATTCGGACTGCTTTCAATCACAAATAAGGCTTGTTTGTCCTACTCACGGAATCAAGTGTATCCCAGACCGGCGGCATTATATTATCGATGTATTCTAAAATTTATCTATATATTTTTTTTTCTCTGAACGTTGTGAATGAAGTGAAGAAATAATCATGGTAGTGAATATCATTTTATACAAATTGTTGTTTAGCACGTTGGTACGGAAAAGAGTGATTGATGAAAATTATTTAAATGAAAAGATATTGTTAAGATTTTATCATATAAATGATTTATATGGAGCCTTGAAAGAGGAGATTTATATGAAGAATTAAAAAGAGGAGATTTATTTCATAGTATCTGCAATTAATGCTTGCTGTTTTGCTAATAGAGTCACAAAAAATTAGAAATCCTGGCGTGAAAAAATGATTTATTCCATAAACAATTAATGTTAATCCGAAATAAATAAGAGCAATTTTAAGAAATTATGTGCAATTAATGCTCGTTGTTTTGTTAATGGAGCCACAAAATGATTTGTTCTATAAATAGAAATCGGAAATAATGGCGTAAATGATTTATTCCATAAAAAATTTATTCCATAAAAAATTAATGTTAATCGGAAATAATTAAGAGCAATTTTAGGAAATTATGTTAATTTACTATTTTTAGACTATAATTAATGAATTTGGCGGGAAATAATTTCTAAAATTGAATTAAGTTAATCCTTATTATATATTAATAGATTACTTATGTGATGGACAAGATGATATATTCAATATTAAAATTAATAGATTTTTTTCATACATATAAGGAAAATAAACGTTCGCAAACAAACAAAAAATTATAAATTAACCAATAATGGGAAATTACCGTCACTAGAACTTGAAATGAATTCACACATTGAAAGGGGTTAAAGTCATTATAGGAATCATGTCTTTTCGCATGCGAGATCAACAGAGCAGGTGAGTATCTTACACACGACTACATGAGATCATGTGAGTTGAGAGTTTTGTCACAACCAATCGTATCTCATTACATGGACCCATAGAACGATCCATGTTGCAACAACAAAATTCAAATCTTTAAATGCAACTTATGATTTGGAATTCCGAAACATTTGATACCATTCAACAACTCGGGCGTGTGGAGATCAGACAATAAATCGTTATTAGAGTCTGACTTGCACATACTATCTAAACATAAATACATATGACCATCAAACAATTTCATATATGTCATGTACTCATTTATAGACTCAACAACATCCAATGTCTGTGCCAATTTAGACATGCCCTTCAAATAACTAAGATTATCGGTTGTCTGTTTAAACATTGGATATGTGCTTTCATCTAGGGCTGCAAACGAGTCGAGCTGCTCGCGAGCGCTCGAGTCAAAGCTCGGCTCGAGCGGCTCAAGCACGAACTCGAGTCGAGCTCGAGCTCATATTTTGCATTGTCTAGCGGCTCGCGAGCGGCTCGAGATATATGAAATTACTAAAGTACCCCTTATATATATGTATCTAATGCTTATTTTACAAAATTGTTTGAAAAAAATCAAACCGAACTCGAGCTGAGCTCGAGAATTTTGAATTCGAGTCAAGCTCGAGAATTTTGAATTCGAGTCGAGCTCCAGTCAAACTCGAGCTCTTGTATATTTTTATCGAGTCGAGCTCGAGCGCCATAAATCGAGCTCGAGCAGCTAAAAAAAAATTCAATCATGCTCGATAAGGTCAACGCTCGACTCGACTCGACTTGCTTGCAGCCCTACTTTCAGCGATTTGAGCAGTCGGATTATCAGATGACTCAATCAATATATCCTTCAAGTATGTTTTGTTGGGTTCTGTTAGGAATGTCGTCAATATGCATATCCAAATTAATAACTTAAATTCTAGCACATTGGAATATATAGGTAGGATCATGATTTACGTTTAATTTTTTTTTTTATTTTCCGACTTTGAGAGGTTTTTTATTTTCATTGACAGAGATCCTCTAAGCCTCGTCGGGTCACGTGCGTCGGTATAGTCGGATTGGACCTCAAGATAGTTGGGTTGCGCAGGTGCTGCTGCGCGTGCGTGTGCGCCTCGCTGTGTCACGTGCTCTTGCGCAGTCTGTGGCGTGAAGCTTTCTCGTCGAGCGCTGGACGTCTGCGTACGGTCGTCGACCGTTGGACGTCTGCGGGCGCGCAGGCGTTGTGCGTCCCAAACGGGGCGCTGGTAGGGTGATGTGCATAGGCGCTGCGCATCAGAGGGGCTACTGCAGGGGTTGGACGATTAGACATGGCCAAATAACTCGGCCCGGCCCAGCCCGGCGGGTCGGCGAGCCTCAAATGTTGGCCCTTAACCGACCCGACTATATCTAAGGATCAGTTCATTGAACCGGCCCGACCCGACCCAACGTTCATTAAACCACTGTTCAAAAAAGATAATAATAAAAAAAATAAATTAAATTTTCAAGTGTGACCTGTTGAAAAATTCGGGCCCGGCCCTGCGGGTCAGAAATGAGCACAACATGACCCGTAATCGGCCCTTAAGAGGTTATGGACCGGTTCAAAAACTGGCTAGGGCGGGCCGGGCCAACCCGTGGCCATGACTATGGGCGATGCAAGCGCGGCTGCGAGCAGCAAATGCGGCGGTGAGTCACGGCTCCGTGTGGCGAAATACAAAATCTTTAGAAAAACCTCATCACATATACTGAAGATCATCACTTTCTGTTTCATGACTCCTCCAATGTGTAAGGTATCCTACTTTTGTCTTGCTCAATATTTCATGTTAAAGAGAACTGGCAGCTTTAACCAGCTAAATACTTTACAACTGTCTGTATGAATAGACTTGTAATAAAATGTCACAGCAAATACTTTATTACTTTAATAATAACTCAAAATAGTGAATTCCTATACAAACTTGAGACTGCACTAAAACATTTCAGAAAAAAAAAAAATCAAATCAAATTGTACAGATTACAGATAGGACTTTACAATTTACACCATTGTATAAGAGAAAAACAACAAGAGGGAACACTTGAATAACTTTTCTCATATTTTCATCTTGTGAATGAAATGGTTATTGGATGATAACATACAACAAGAAATAACACCAAATCTGAAAGCAAAAAAAAAAAAAAACACAAACACAAACTCAACTCTCTGACCAGTAAACTTATTATGTAAAAGTGGGCAACAGATCCTCCAATAGATCTTCCAATCTCGAATCTATGGTTGGCTGCTCCCATGAATCTTCTGAACCAGATTCGTATAATGGCTCGATGCCACTAATTTCCTCTAACATCTTCACTACTTCAGACATCCTAGGCCTGCGTTCAGGGACACTGCTAGCACATTCCATTGCTATTTGTAATGTCTGTACTATTGACTTCTCGACATTATCATACCTCAGAAGCTCTAAATCAAACAATTCGGCAATCCATTCTTCACGAGCAATGGATATAACCCAGTCAACCAGCGAGAAGGTCTTGGATTCATCCACACTGATTTGAGATGTTTTTTTTCCGGTGAGAAGTTCAAGCAAAAGAACTCCAAAGCTGTAGACATCAGAAGATTGGCACACGTTTCCCGTGTCTCTAAGTTCAGGGGCGTAATATCCTGGATTTGGCATAACTGATCTTCTGACGGGACTTACCAGCTTTGCCAGACCAACATCGGATATAATGCCATGTTTTTGTCCATTAAGGAAGATGTTTGAGGATTTAATGTTACCATGAACGAGCTTCCGGCCATCTTTACTATGAATGTGAGCGATGCCCCTGGCTGCATCCACTGCAATTTTCAAGCGGGTCTCCCAGTCTAGAGGGGTCTCATCAGTTCCTAGTTTCCCTACAAAGTTTGAAAAGAGTTTAATCAAGCATAATTCAGAATCAGATTATCATATACAGTTTGTTAGGTAGCATTATAAGACTGAATAACTGCAGTTAAAATGTGAAAATAGAATGCTGCTTGTTGATGCATAACTAGATTATACAACATGGAGGGGAATAAAAAGAGAAGGAAACANNNAAAAAAAAAAAAAAAAAAAAACATGGCATTCTAGTGTTAACATTAAGCTTCAGGTAATTTTTCATGAGGGATCTTTGTCTCTAGTTCATGCACACTCAATTATCCATAATGCACTGCGAACAACGAAGATTGCTAGAATGGATATACTAAAAAACACCTGGAACTGCAATATAAAAGCTAAAAGGGATAACGACTTTCCACAGAAAAAAAAATCAAGGAATCGTAACTTCAAGTATCAAGGATAAAATACTAACTAACTTAAAGTTTCAAGCCTATACGAACAAAGTAAATTCCATGTCAAAAGAAATTCACAGTTTTTGTTGGAGACTATGTAGCTGCCAATAATTTTATTTTCACGTACCATGCAGCGCAACAGATACACTGTCCTGAACATAGTGATCATAAACCAAGAGTGTTTCATCTTTCGAATAGTAGTAGGCCCTCACTTCCGCAACATTTTTGTGCACCATTCTTCCAATCATATCCATATGTTGCTGAAAATTATTAAATGAAAGAACAACGCCCTTCATTCTCTTCACCACAATTGTGTGTCCAGGTTCCAATCTTGCCAAGTAAGAACTCCCAAATGTTCCTTCCAAGTAAGAACTCCCAAATGTTCCTTCCCCAAGAACCTCAGCAGAAGACCTGAGCAGATCCTCAAGATCAAATGTGGGTTTAGGATCCTCAATAAAAACAAGTTTTCTTGCCACAGGAGAACCACTTATGGGGTACAAGGAACTAATTTCCTCTAACATCTTCACTACTTCAGACATCCTAGGTCTCTTCTTCATCGACTTTTCAACACATTTCATCCCTATCTGTAATGTTTTAACCATCTGGTCTTTTATGGTGGGTTGCTTCAACAGATCTGCATCAAATACATTAGCAGCCCTAATCTTGTTCCTTATGGAAGTAACCATTTTGACTAGGTCAACAGCCTTCGGGCCACCAGGGAAATGAACGCTGGGCTTTCTAGTGAGAAGTTCAAGTAACATAATCCCGAAGCTATATACGTCTGATGCTTGGGACACATTCTGGGAACTCTTTACTTCAGGAGCATAGTAATATGCAGTTGGCTCGAATGCTGTTTGTATCAAGCTAGTCGGACCGAGATCTGATATGCAGCCATACTGGTCAGGATTGCGAAAAACATTTGACGATTTTATGTTTCCATGGACAAGTTCCCCGCCATTATGCTTATGTATTTCAGCAATACCCCGGGCTGCACCAATCGCGATTTTTAGCCTGCTTTCCCAGTCCACGTTAGCACGAGGTTTACCATTTCTTCCTGGAAAATATCAGAGAATGCATAATTAAAAACACATCAAGAAGACAAAACTGCAAGTGATACAATTAAGACCTGGATAATTGATAAATTAAAGTCATCTCATGCTTCATCTATTCGACGGATGGAGCACTATCATAAACCATCCATTTCACCTTAAAGCATATTCTAAATTGGGATTTTTAATAGATATTCTTTTGTAAACTAAGGGACAATGGAGGATAATAATTACTTCAACAGATATCTATATCACTTTCATCTTCAATCACCCCTGTTGATTTGCACTAATGCCCTTGGAATGGGAATTCAGATATGCAGAGAATTATTCAAAGCTAAACAGGGGAATCTCTTATCAAACTTGTAATGAAAATCCTCATAGAATTCTCCACGACTCGGAGAAAGAACAAAGACCATATCACTAGAAGTCCACGGGGTCCAACATACCATGTAAGAGCGAATACACGCTCCCCAAACGGTAATAATCATAAAGTATGAGTCTTTCATCTTCCGAAGAGTAGTAAGCCCGCAATGAAACCACGTTCACGTGCCTAACACCTCCAACAATCGCCATCTGGCGATTGAACTCCTTTTGTGAAACACTCGTCGGGTCGAGTCTCTTGACCACGATTCCTACCCCGTTGTCCATTGTAGCAACATAAACGCTCCCGAAGGTTCCCCTGCCCAGAAACTCAGAAGAGGCCAGCTGTACATGCTCGAAATTGATGGAGTGACTGAAATACGAAACGAAAATCAGCTTCGTAGTTCTCTGGTACGTCGATAAACTTCCAAGTCTCGCAAGGTCAAGGGCCAGGTCATCAAGTGAGGCCCTCGAGTTGAAGCTGGAGCTAAAATTCGAAGCTTCAGAGAGGACGCTGGGGCTCCTTGAATGATCGTGAAAAAGCTGCCATAGCTGTTGTTTCTTGAGAACAGCATCAACAAGCCTCTCCCAGTTGTCATAGATTGCAGACATCTTTGCTTAAAGCTGTCAAAGCTGCTACACTGAAAGTAACTAAGAAATGAAATGGCGAGAGTGACTACAAATTTATAATGCTTTGTTTGACACGGTTAAAGCGGTAGGTGCATGCATGGTCATTTAATTAGAGGAGACACTTGAAAGAAATTTCAAATGAGAAAGGAAAATGAAAAGGACAATTGAGCTCTGGGCCCGCGGGCCGGGCCGGCCCACCCCGCCAAATGGCGGGTTGGGCCTGATTTCATTTGTGATGGCCGTGGAAATCCAATCTGTTTGTTCAAGCCCAAAGCAAACACACAGTTCACATCACACACACAAACGACTCAAACAAAAGTTACAGAATCCTAGCCTTCTTCGTCCATTCGACTCAGAAAGAGAAGAGCCTAAAAATCCGCCGCCGACCTCCGTGGCGTGGCAGGGAAGTCTCGACCGGCGCGCTAGATTTGATTTTCCGAGGCGGAGATGCTTCGCCGGATCCGCCGCTATCCATGGCGGGGCAACTTCCGGCGGTCAGATCGAGGAGGTCGGGCAGGGGCTGTGAAGCGGTGGTGACCGAGTTGGCTGCAAAAAGTTGAATAAATTTTGTCCGTCGCTCTCTTTTGCAAATTTCTTTTTTGTTTTGGTTTGGAAGTTTTCTCCAACTTTTCTTTTACCGTGTTAATTAAATAAATAATTAGGAATGAAATTGGGTGTTCGTATTTACCGCCCTTATTACTAATAAGCACTACCTCTTTGGACAGTTTTGTTTTTGACATTTTTTTTTAAAAAAATATGTCGCCGTCCGGCTAGCAAAACCGGACGTGTTTCATCTACACAATGTATATTAAACTTTTATCTGTTATTATACGTAATGCTCACCTACTCACGGTGGACACATGTTAATATGATCACCGCTTATGTGGTATGTACACATTGGTGATGTTAATATACTCAAAAAAATACACTACTAATGTGTGCATGCCACATAAGCGGTGGTCATATTAATATGTGTCCACCGTGGCTAGGTGAACATTACTTCTGTTATTAATATTTAACTTGTTTTACTGTATTAAACTCCTTATCTGCTTGTATAGTATTCATATTTTATCTATTCACGGTATTAAACTTCTTATCTGTCCGGTATACGAAAATTCTTATCTGTTATTATATTTTATTTGGTTTATCGCATTAAAAAAATTTCTGCTTTGTATACGTATTGTCATTTGGTACTTATTTTATTTTAAGATTATTCCGCTGTCAGTTTGTAGTTTTTATTATACAGATCATGTTGTATGACTTGTATCTTAACTATCAAACTTATTATCACCGGACTAAGTTTGAATTGTTAATTTATATTCTTGTTATTATTTAGTGTTATTTATTGCTCGGCATGTTATTGCTTGGCGTTGCGTCCCCGTCCAACTCGGTTTGGGGGGCGTGACAATGGCTAAAAAACTATATTGATTAAAAGAGGTGGAAAATAAATTATAACAATATTTTTTAGATTTAACGTTGATTAAAAGGGGTGGAAAATAGATGATAATTGTATTGCCTTTTAGACTTAAAAGGACAAAGCATATGAAAATAACTTATTATTACCGTACATCGCATGGAGTACGTACTAGTCATAATACTAAAAGAATGATTATATAATATATATTATATATTAGGAAAATGCTAATGGAATCATTTCAATGCAACTTCCAATAAAAATTGCTTTGACTATATATAATGTTTATATCAAAACCAGAAGATCTAATAGCTTACATTGAACTCTCGATCGAGTTTGCCTTTCCCTATATCATATATATTCACTTGACATGTATTTATTGTTGAAGACGTAATGTGCGTTCCACAAAAGTATATATTGACTAGGTGGACAAAAGGAGTGAAAAGTGTCGAACACTTGAATAAAAAAAATTCTAATGGTGTGGAGAATGCTAGAGGATAGGTTCAAAGGCTTCAATCTCAACTTGTACGGATGGTACTTCAAGCTTCCACCCAGTGACGGATCAAAGAATTTCATTCAGGGGCCCAATTTTAAATGTTATAACGAGTTTGTAGTTTAAGTCAAAATGCTCATTTCATGTAAAAATGTATTTACTATAAATATAAATATTGATAAGTGTACCATCAAATTTTAAAAACTTAAAATCCTTATTACTAAACAAAAAATATGAGATTTCGTGTATTTATAATTTAAGTTCAACATCTATACAGTTTATGAAAAAATAAGTTTTTTGATTGAAAAATGATTTCAATTGAATTTTTGCAGCACATTGTATAACATTTTTGTTGATAAGAGCATGTCAAATCAACAATTTTTTAAGAAAAAAAAATAAATTTAAAAATATATGATTGTAAAACTTATCTAACTTATATAGAAATACAAAGTTTTATAAATCACTGAATCAATTTACAATTAAGAGACCTTAAATCATTATAAATAGTTTAAATAACTTATCTAGAAATGTTAAATACAAGGATTGTTGGTACATTATTTAGTAAATAAATGATATTATAAACTTAAATTAAAATTACATAAAAATAAGTTTTAATTATTAGTATATGGCATTGTTTTGTGACCCGGACCGGCCCGACGGGTCGACCCAAGACCGGTCGACCCGGAGTCGAAACCCGGTTGATCCGGTCTATATAATTTTTTTATTTATTCTAATACTTTTTTATGTAAAAAATAAAAAAAAAACTATGTTTATATAATGACATAGTAAATATTTATTGTAAGATTCAATATTATTAACACTTAAATGTACAATTTTGTATATAAAACATTTTTTTACGTTATTATTATGTATATTTATATGTCAAAAATATTATATACATAATTTTAAAAAAATTAAAATTAATTATCCGGTTCAGCTAACCCAGTGACCCGGTGACCCGAATACTTGCCCGGGTCGATTCCGGGGCGGCTTT